CCCTCCTACTCTTCCCTTCTATTGGCCCTTTTCATTCAACCTATAACAGTGTTTTCCGACTTGGTCCTTGGTGACGTTTTTGCAAGGATGTGTGTGCGCTGCCGGGCAGTCAGCGGGGATGTGCACTGCCGGGCAGTCAGCGGGGATGTGCACTGCCGGGCAGTCAGCGGGGATGTTTCCACTGTAATTTAATATATAATAGACAGGCACCACTTACTGAATACATTGAACTGTTGTGATAGTGTAATGAAACTTTATGTTGGGGAAGTTGCTCAGTTAATGCTTATGCTGTGTTCCATTTACCTTGGAGGACGGAAGTCAGAGCTGGAAATAACGTCTCACCTGAATTAACCGTGTTCCAGTACAAGTCAGAAAGCCATTTAGCGATACCAGGCACCTCTTTCAAAACAGGGTAACGTCGGATTTACAGTACCCCAGTTTAGTTGGCCTTTATATTATTCTGGGCTGTATGCAAGCTTACTAACATAAATCCATTACTGTGTGTACGACCGATTTTAATGAGATAAGCTAAACATAAGTGCTTATAAATGGTATGTAACCATGGCTTTCACTTCTGTTGATGAAGGGTGCAGCCATCTTGAATTTTGAGGTTGGGGTTGCAGTGGTTTCTCTGACTTTGAGTCGGAACGCCGACTTCGGGGGGGGGGGGGCGTTCTAGTTGAAATTTCCGACTAGAGACTCGGAAATTCCAACCTCCAAGTTCAAATGGGACACGGCATTACGTACTTGGAGGTAGACGGTAGTGGCGAAAGAAAATGTGATGGCAAAGCAACATCTAAAATGAGCAGAAGCAGAAAATATGACGAGACGTATCTGGAATACAGTTTTGTGTGTGTTTGTGGGGGGTGTTGGATCAGTATATATATATATATATATATATATATATATATATATATATATATATATATATCAGCCTTGGCAGGGCTTTGTCAAAGTTTGAATGCCACTGCCCTATAAGAGAGATGCACAATAAGGAAACAAAATGGCCTTTCTGCCCCCCCCCCATCAGTATGCCTTAAGGTTGGTAGCCTTTGGGCAGCTTCACAAAGTCCTGGGGATGGACGCTCTTCCCTCGAAGATACTTAGGAAACCCAAGACTGACGCCCCTGTAGACTACACAGGTATGCGGCTGTGAGCTCATGCTCCCCATTTTACACCATCTAATTTGGACCCTGAATGGACTCTTAAGTTGGCACCACTGGGTTTTGCAGTCCAGATCCCCCCCAGCACACCCTATGTCACCACAATAAAGAGGCCTATTGAAGAAGAGGAGGTCATGGATGACAAGAATCCCAACAAGAAGAAGAAGAAGCTTCAGAAAAAATGTGAGCTTGTACCATTTTCAAAGTTTTTCAGTCATGTGATTTCCTGTCTTCCTTTAGAAATTCTGGGTGATGAACATGGTCCACATTGCTGGCTTTTTTTTTCCCCCTGTCTTCTGACAGACTCTGAAGATAAGCTGGAGCCACCGCAGGCAATGAACGCCCTGATGCGACTTAACCAGCTGAAGCCAGGCCTGCAATACAAGCTGGTGTCGCAGACGGGCCCCGTCCACGTGCCCGTCTTCACCATGGCCGTGGAGGTCGACGGCAAGAGCTACGAGGCGTCCGGGCCCTCAAAGCGCACGGCCAAGCTGCACGTGGCAGTCAAGGTGCGATGGCTTCCGTAGTTTGTCTTCACTCGAAATAATGAGTTTGGTGAGGTTCTGTGGCGGGTGTAGCAGTCTGTAATAGGACCGTATGTGGCTCAGCAGATTGGGACACTTACCCATGATCAGAAGGCCAGAGATACATCACCGTTGGGCCCTTGTTGTAAGGCCTTTAACTCCCAGTTTGTCCAGGGCGTGGCTGACGCTGCTTTCTCAATAGTACATCACTTTGAATAAATTCATTGCTAAATGAATAGATGCCATATTTATAGAAATGTCTGTACTCTTGCGTTATCTCTCTCGAGACGTATTTAATATTTATAAAATGTCATTTTACTTTTGGAGATTGGATTATATTCTCCTGGATTTATTTATGGAGAAGTCGTGGTTAAATGCTGGTCTCGGATGCACTGGAGCCGGTTGTGTGAGGAGAAACGCTGCCGGCTATAAGGTTACTCTGAATAATAGCGTCTGTTGTGCAGCTGTAAGTAAAAATCAGCCTGCTTCCTGACCTTTCCCTGTGGAGCAGGTCCTGCAGGACATGGGGCTGCCCACTGGGGTGGAGGTGAAGACCGCAGAGCCGGTGAAGACCGAGGAAGGGCCCACTGGCGCAGAGGCCGACCCCCAGGCTCCGGAGCCCGGTGCGGCCGACGTGCCGCCCTCTAGTGGCGAGGCAGGGGACGGCGGCGAGGTGAGTCCCGGGTCCTTGTCACGTCTCAGTGGGGGGTGGGTCGCACTTATCGAGAGGCAGATGGGATGGATTTTCCTGGAGCAAGGGGCTACATGTGACTTCACGGAATTTACCCAGAAGTACTGACCTCGCTTCAGGTCATCGGCGAGCTTAATGCAGGCCATCGATCAGGTATGGGTTGGCGCAGGTCCGTGGGCCGCAGCAGAATCGCACCTCCTCCTCCACCCAATTTCCTCTGCTGAGGTATGTGTTCAATTCTGCCCGGCAGAGCTTGAAGCAGCAAGGCCCCATCCTGACCAAGCACGGCAAGAACCCGGTGATGGAGCTGAACGAGAAGCAGCGCGGCCTGAAGTACGAGCTCGTCTCGGAGAGTGGCGGCAGCCACGACAAGCGCTTCGTCATGGAGGTGGGTGGCCGCACGCCAGGTGCTGTGACTGTTACTTTACGCAGGAGCAGAAGGGGGCCAAATAGTGTAAAAACATACAGACGGTATGACAGCAGTGAGGGATGAACACTTAGCTTGCGATGACCTCAGCAGGAGTGATACGGGACTTCATGATGCTTCACAGTTGGGCTGAACGATGTGTGGTAAATATCTAATTGCATTTTCTGAGTGATTTGATTTGCCATTTTTCTTAAGTCAAGCTTTTGTTCAATATTCAGTGTGTATTTGATTTAAAGCATATGATGCAGCATTAGCACATGGGAAACCATCAAAACATCAGCTGGTCTATATTCTAATGCAAGGATATGATATTGCTTCCAAAAGTGTTTTTTAAGCCTTGTGTAATACCTTGAGTGTTTTAGTGATCTGGCATATACATATTTAAAAATCTATCCACAAGTAACTAACAAGATTATTAATTAATAATTACTAATAAGTAATTCAAGTAACCTCATTCCTGAACATTTTCTAAACAAACTGAACTTTTTGTATCGTCATATGTCGATGGCCTTATGATTTGGTGTGGACGCTGTTCCCAGATTATCCCACATACTCTTTATCCGCAACAATTTCTCTATAAATGTAAGGCACATAGCTTAAAAGTATTGTTTTATGGTCATTTATTTGCCAAAAAAGTGCCGAGTCCTAGCGACTGGAGCATGGTAGAGTGATTGTGTATTTACATGCGCATCTTAGGTGGTGCGGTTGCAAATGGGACTCAATTGTGTATTTTATCATGGGAGAACAATCAAAAAAAACGATTATCACAAGAGCTGTGACTGTTAATTCCAGTAAGGAAAAAGAACGACGGTGATCCTGCATCTACAGTTGCTTGGACCCCTAATAATAGGGACCTTTCTGTAAACAGTCTATGAAATAGGCAGGTAATTCACTTACAGCTCAGCAGTGGAATTGATTTTTTATTTTTTATTTTTTGTCACAAAGTTTTCCCTCGAGTTTCACATCTTTGTTTGTGGGCGTATATTCAGTCAGTCGTCTTGAGCCACTTGATTGGTGAGCATGACTGTCACATAAGGAAGACATGAATTTGTACAGATTTTTATCTCACGACAGTTTTAAACCATGGGTGAGACGTGCTGTATGATGCATATGCTGTACGGCTGCCTTTGCGAATTTGCCAGTCGCATCGTATCAAATTGCAATTTCGATCAAAACAGATAAGTCATTCAGTCCTGCATTGCAGGATGTTTTTCATGAGCGCTGCACTATACAGACATGTAACATTTCCAAAACACAGTAACCCTTAATGGCAGGAGGTGAACGAGCCGTCACTCAGGTCTTCTCTGTCAGGTGGAGATCAACGGACAGAAGTTCCAGGGTACCGGCTCCAACAAGAAGGTGGCCAAGGCCTACGCCGCCCTGGCTGCCCTGGAGCGACTTTTCCCCGATGCCCCCGACGCCATGAAGAAGAAGAAACTACCTCCAATGGTAACTGGCCGGGTCTTTAACCTCATGGCGATGCTAATATCTGCATAGCTTCTGTGGTGATGCTGGGCTTTCTGGGCCAGCTCTGAGAAAGGGGGGGTTAGGGGTCCCTGGGGGGGTTAGGGGTCCCTGGGGGGGTTAGGGGTCCCT